ATATTACTCGGACTAAAACATTATACTCTTCTCCAAAACATTTGTTATATGTAAAGTTGAATACGTTTCACGATGTGGCATAATTATACTTAAAATCGAGATGGTTTGATAATTGTTCAAATTTAGTGTATTGTTTAGTTTGGTTCGATTTTTTTCCGTTGCTATTAATCTATCATCCGTCTTTATTAACTCGCATGTGGACCGAATGCCTAAAATAACCAATTTTGACTATGTGGACTCATTCATACCTATCAGTCTCTTTGTTAATTGCTACTCTGATTTTTCCAACTACCTCTATTTGCTACATTAATTCACTTTGTAAATGCTTATCCAAATTATTTTTAAAAAGACTCAAAGACGACAAATCTCTTTGTTCACTTTTGTGTTAAAATAAAATTGTTTGGCAAAAAATTATGAGACCGTTGGTTGTCAAACGTCAAAGCATGGCCCTACGTGGGGTTACTGACATAGTTTTTTTCTTGTTCAATATCTCTTTTTTGTCATTAGCATTTGGATTATACGAGCATACATAATAGTGCCATAATATAATAACACCATTTTCTTAACTTATGCCTTTAAATACTCAACTAATAATTTGTATAGTGTGTGTTCCATTTTATGAACTTTGATAATAATTATCTCGGTACCATACCAAAAAAGTAAAATATCTTTCGATTACGAAACTAACGGAATGTTTAAATGGATCTTGATTTGATTTAAAAATCCAATTTAAGTCGAATAAAAAAGTCAAAATGAATTGTGATTTGATTTAAATGGTTTTAGTTTCTTTTTACCATAAAACTAAAACAAGTCCGAACCAAACCAAAACCATAAAATTTGATTGTGCATAAAATTTTAATAAGTATAAATATATTAGACTAAAATACAGATTCGAACATAAATAAAAATAACATCAAACCATTCTATATTACATTTTGGTTTTATTCTGATCATTTTCTTATATAACCCAACAAAAACGAAATCTCAAACCAAATCTTTATACATTAAACACAGCTAACGAAAACTAAGATTTCATTCTAAATTCTCTTTAACATTTATCAGGTACCAAATCCCATAACAAATACACCTTTTTACCGTTTTTGTGTAGCATTTATCTGGCACCAACATATATCTACTTTCACAAGTACAATTTACTTATACAGTATTTATTAATAATATATTGAATCATATGGTATATTTGTTCCATTATACAACACAATCTCTCTCTCTTAAAGCAAGGTATCAAATTATCAATTGTTTACTTAACAAAAAAATGATTCCCCAATAAATGATTAAATGGAAATTACATTTATGAATTTTTACGTAATTTTAATAATCTTACTCCCTTAAACCCCACTAATTAAAAGCGCACACGGCCGGTGGTCCCACCGTTATCACCACTCAATATATTTTTTCCCACGCGCCTTCATGTTGTTTCAACTTCCACGCTTGGCTTGCACGCGCGTAACGACATGAGTTTCTTCACACGCCCCAATAAGAGCGCGTGTACAGATTGATATGACTGCTTTTCTGGAAATAATATTACTGTACA